GGGAGGGAGAGTCTGGGGCCCGGAGAGGGACGGTGCAGGATCAGGGAAAGGTGAGTCGTAGGACGTTTGAGCTCCAGAAAAGTCGGGAGCGCTCCCCGCTCGTTCCCGTGAGCTTGACTCATCCGACCCCGCAGGCCTCGCGGGGGTGCCTTTTTATAAAGCGCTGCTGCGGGGTGCGTTTTTATCCGCATTCCATTTTTTGTCTCGGTTTGGAGAGGTGGGGGAGGTGTTTCTGGAAGAGAATGGGAACAAGGCAAGCTTAAAGGAAATAGGATCCCTTTGCTCGTTGGGAGAGCAGAAAAACCTCATTTTTTTTTTCCCGTCAAAAGCAGCCACGAGCAACCTGGAATTTCTATCTTTAGACCGAACCAAAGGAGCAGGGCGCCGGACCCGGAGAAGAAGCGGCGACCTATTTACTTCTCCTTGTAAAAAAGGTGGTTTTCTTTTAAATTTTTGTTTGTTTGTTGTCTTTTTTGTTTTTGTTTTGAGAAGAGGATGTCATCAGGGATTTTTTATCAGACAGCAATGTAATCTGAGATGCGGGTGAAGTGAAAGTTAAGAGGGAAGGGGTCTGGAAAGACGACCCACCCCCGTACCTCAGAACTTGTGGCCTCCAACTCCGTGCTTGTGCTTCCTTGCGTCTGTCCTCAGTTACAGAAGTGAAACTTCTCGGACGCCACCTTCTCCTAAACACCCACCGTCCAATGCCGAGTTAGTGCCCAGTGAGTCTAGAACGGTATGCCCAGACGTATCCCCTGCTGTTGACCTAAAGGAGCAGGGGACTGTGAGCCACAGTCCACAGTGGGCCTGGTGGGACGGAATGAAGCCACAGACTCTGGCCCTGGGCTCATGGCTCGGCCAAGGACGATGCAGACTTCCTTCCCGAGATGTCAGCGATTCTCTGCCAGCTTCTCTAGACGTCTCCTGCCTTTACCCCCTCTAAGCATCCAAGCCTGACCCCTGGGTTACTTTTTCCCCTGAATGACCTTTGAATGTCCTCAACAAATAATGACAAATATTTGTTACCGCGAATTATTTGTTTAACATGCTTTAAGTCATTTACTTCCTACAAAAACCAATGAGGCCCCTACTGTTATATTTCCGTTGAGAAGTGAGGAAGCTGCCGAGAGGGAACTCCTCGCAAAGCTGACAGCGGTTGGGACTTGCAGAGAAATGCCCAAGTGACAGCAAAACCCAGTTGCTTCCAAACATTTAGGCACCACCACAATTCCCTCTGCCCAAGGTTTGTAGGAGCAATTGAATGCAGAGAAGAGTTTGACTCAAAGACGGGAAAGGAGCAGGACCAACTCGTAAATTTTACAGGGTCCAGTGCAAAATGAAAAGATGGGACCTTTTGTTCCAAAATTAAGAATATTTAACCAAGAATAGGGTCCTTCTGAGCACAATAGGACTCTGTGACCACACCGATTGTGTGCCCATGAAGTCAGTCCTGGGAGGAAGGAAGCAATTTTTAAGAGTAAGGGACTTTTACTGAGCGCAGAATTCGGAAATACAGAGGTGAAAATAAATGTTCTTAGATTTGGCACTTTCCCTTCCCCCTGTTGAAACGCACCGCAGTCACCATCCCTGGAGTTCCGTGGGAGATGATGAGCTGCTGACTGTGTCAGAGTGATGGACGTTCTTTACATTTTCTCCTGTTTCATCACCACTCAGAGAGCCTAATGGTGTTTAATTTTCAGCCACTGTCTCTGTTCTGTGTTCAATGCCATTTCCTGCCCCGAGGTGTCTTCAGGATCCTCTGAGCAGTAAATAGGAGAACATCTCTAGTTGGAACTCAGCACTGGGGAGGGGACTGAGCACCCATTGGCTGGAATCTCCACAACATTCCCAGCCTAGACCTAAATGCCTCAGCTTGGGAGGCATCCCCTAACTCCTCAGACAGTGCATTCTGTCTTCTGGCTATTCTGGTTACTAGAAAGCTCCTATCCCACTGAAAGCCCACATCCCGTCCCTTTCACCTCGCGCCCAGAGGTCCTTGTTGTACATCTGTGGCCAAGCCAAACAAGTCTTTTCCACGTCACAGATCTTCACATATTTGCCAACAGCTTTCATGCTTTTCCTGCCTCCAGAGTCCTCTCTTTGCACAGTTAACACAGGCATGTCATTCAACAGGTGCACACGTGGCACAATGGAACCTGTTTCTGATTCCTGCCACATCCTGGCTGTTCTCTAAATGCATTCTGGTTTGTCTGTGTGTGTGTGTGATTTTTTTTTACAGTCCTCCAAGAGTGCTGTGGCCACTGCAGCGTGGAGGAGTCTCTTGTCTACCTCACTCTGCAGGTTAGTGTTGCATTGGATTGGACGGGTTCAGGTTGGTCACATTTGCTGCTAAATCTCCCGTCTATTTTATGCAGAGTACTGCTGAGCCACATCTCTTGTCATCTTGTGTTTAGGGTGTTGTCTGTGCCATGCAAATATCACCAAAAGCAGTCTTATTTTTTGTTGAAGTATAGTTGATGTGCAATATTATATAAGTTTTAGAAGTATAATACAATGATTCACAATTGGTAAAAGTTGTATTCCATTTATACTTGTTATAAAATATTGGCTGTATTCCCTGTGTTGTACAATACATCCATATAGCTTATTTATTTTACACATATTAGATGGTACCTCTTAATCTCCTTCCCCTACCTTGCCCCTCCTCCCTCCCCTCTCCCCACTGATAACCGCTTGTTTGTTCTCTATATCTGGGAGTCTGTTTCTTTTTTGTTATATTCACTGGGTTGTTTTATTTTTTTAGATTCCCCATATAAATGATATAATACAGAATTTATCTTTCTCCATCTGACTTATTTCACTTAGCACACTATCCTCCGAGTCTATCCATGTTGTTGTAAATGGCAAAATTTCATTCTTTTTATGACTGAGTAGTATTCCATTGAATATATAAATCACATCTTCTTTATCCGTTCATCTGTTGATGGACACTTATGTGGCTTCCGTGTGTTGGTAATTGTAAATAATGCTGCTGTGAACATTGGGGTGCCTGTATCTTTTTGAATTAGTGTTTTCATGTTTGGGGGTATACACTCAGGTATGATGTTGTTCGCTTATATGGTAGTTTTATTTTTGGTTTTTTGAGAAACCTCCATACTGTTCTCCACAGTGGCTACACCAATTTACATTCCCACCAGCAGTACGTGGGTTCCCTTTTCTCCACATCCTTCTCAACATGTATTTGTGTTCTTTTTGATGGCAGCCATTCTGATAGTCGTGAGGGCGTATCTCCTGGTAGATTTAATTCTCATTTCTCTGATGAGTAACCATGTTGAGCATCTTTTCATATGCCTGTTGGCCATCTGTATATCTTCTTAGGAAAAATGTCTATACAGGTCTTCTGCCCATTTTTTAATCAGATTGTTTTTTGTTGTTTTTTTTTTTTTGACGTTGAGTTGTATGAGCTGTTTATATATTTTGAATATTAACTCCTTATCAGTCATATCATTTGCAAATATTTTCTCCCATTTAGTAGGTTATCTTTTTATCTCGTTAATGGTTTCCTTTGCTGGGCAAAAGCTTCTAAGTTTAATTAGGTCCAATTTGTTTATTTTTGCTTTTATTTCCTTTGCTTTAGAAGACAGATCCAAAAAAATATTGCTACAGTTGATGTCAAAGAGTATTCCACATATGTTTTTTCTATGAGTTTTCTGATTTCCACCAAAAGCAGTCTTAGTCTAGGCCAGAGGGTGAGCTCTGTATTCTTCTGCTAGGGATACGATAACCAAATACCACCATCTGGGTGGTTTAAACAACAGAAGTTTATTTTCTAACGATTTTGGAAGCTAGAAGTCCATGATCAGGGTGTCCATGGGGTTGATTTCTGTGGCCTCTCTCTTTGGCTTGTACATGGCCATTTTCTCCCTGTGTCTTCACATGGTCTTCCCTCTATGTGAGTCTGTGTCCTCATCCTCTCTTCCAGGGGCGTCAGTGGTATTGGATTAAGGCCCACCCTAACGACCTCATTTTGACCTAATTACCCCCTTTAAAAGCCCCATCCCCAAATACAGTCACATCCTGAGGTATTGAGAACTAGGCTTCAACATATAAATTTGGGTTGAATGAAATTCAGTCCATAACAGGACCCCTAAAACTATTATTTTCCCATTTAAGCTACCCTCCAATCCATCCTTGAGAGTGGATTCCTTCCACCTTTTATTCACATCCTTTTGAAACCAGCGCGAGTCCTAGGTAACGAGAATGATTTCTTCAGCTGCCTCCTGGTTGAATGTTTGGGAAACTTGGCTACTCCAGACTTCCAATCGTATTGTAAATTATGGTACCTTCCATAGAGGTGCTGCCTTGCCAAGTAGTAGCTGTGATGACAGACACTGTGACATATTTGAGAGTTTCACGTGCTTCTCAGCTGCCTTTTCTTCTTGAGCCACAAGCCAATTCCTCTTTGTAGACCAGAAGTAGATCTTGAGTTGCATTCACTCTCATCTCTTTTTACCTTTTCTAAGACAGAGGGCATCATATATTTCTTCATCTTGACTGCGGCCTTCAATATCTACAGGAAGTCTAAACTGTAAATAGCATTCAAGTTTTCATAATAAAATTCTTTCTCCCAATGGTGCATGCAGATTTTCACATAATAAGGTTTCCTTCTTTCTTCTTGAAGAATAAACATAAGGAAAATTATAAATGAATAGTTAGCACTTAATGTACTTACGTTTAACTGTACACATCTAACGGACCTTCCTGTAAACAAAGGATGGGGCATTTTATTCACCCTGTTTCTTAAGTTACCACTTCATTTATGAGTCTTTACTTCAGTGGTGCATCTGTGAAGTGTTCATTTATCTTCAAACAATACAAGAGCTTTAAAATTATTCCTCTGCAATCACTGCACAAAACTACTTCAGAGACACCCTTCAGTTCAAGTAACAGACAGTGTGCCAATGAGCTCAGTGCACTCAGTCCGTGGGACAATAATATTAAATGTTAAGCCACAGACCACTTTTGGTAGCTGGTTTACATAACTTGTTGAAGAACGTTGGTAATTCCAAGGCCACCGCAAAGTAATTTAAAAGAATATTCTTATATTTTATGGAGTGAAAAGGAGGGAGAAAAAAATAGACCATGCATGCCAACCCCAGAAGTAGGAAGTGTGAAAATCAACCCAGCAGCAGGGAGGTTTAAAGAAGGCCATGCACACGTTACTCTAGTTTGCTTCTTCAGAGAACTCTGGTGATGGGGCAGCGTCGTGCCGTGGTGGTAAAGGACTCAGGCTTTGGGAAACCTTGGCTACTACGTACCAGCTTTGGATGTACTTGTGAAACCTACCAGCGCCTTCATTTCTGAAAATGCATCCCCTCATGTCACAAGTGGTATGACAAAATGAGAAGGTACCTAGCACAGTACTTAGCTTAGTCCTCTCTTCTTGAGAGAACAGAAATTCACAATAGCTGTCACCTGAGTGACCAGGTTAGGCCTGACTTTGACCATGTGTTGATTTTGCCAGGAGCTGTCCCTGAGCACAGTGACTCTCAACCCAGCGTTACTTGGGTGGGTCCCCAGGTAATGAGTTGCTAACAAAAGTTCCCGATTTGTGAGTGATTAACTTTTTTGACACATCAGTAAGACCAGACTCAAGGTTACCCTTTTATCAGGCTACTCCTTTGGAGTCCAGTAATGTAGAATTAGGCAACAGGCTAAGAATTAGGAAGAGCCCCCACCACTCCCAAGGGCATGTGCCCGGTATGTGAAAGACAGGCACCCTGTCTGCAGATGTCACAGTGCTTGAAAAGGCTGCTTGCCAGAGGTGCTGAGAGGATTACACGGGGCTGTAGATGGGAGGACCGACCACATCACCTGGTGGGTTAGACTCACTCCCCAGGGCGGGAAGGTGCAGCTCTCACCAGGACTGCGTGGCCTGGGGCCATTGCCAGCGCTCAACACTGATAACAATGAGGCTGAGAGAGGTTGTGCTCCAAGACGGCCAGACCTCTTTATCTCCACATAGACCACACGGAGGGGCTGTCCTCTGCCTTCTTTTTAAAAAGAGCGAAGTTCTACATTCTCCGAATCCTAGTGAAGGCTGTAGCCAGAGATGTGTTACCTGAACCTTAAACGATCAGGGGGAGATTCCAGGCAGATGAGCCCGAAGAATTCACAAACACATTTTATAAATAGACAACATCTTGAGTGACAAAACTAACACACAAATCAGCTACCAAGTAAACAAAAACTTCACAGTCATCTGGTATACAACCTTGTCCTTAAACAGCATTCAACTTTGCTACATCCAACTTTGCTCTCTCCCTCAATTAACGTTTTCTGTCCCATGTGTAGTTTGTTCCGGTTAAAGTAAATAGAACTAGGAATGAAAGTGTTTAGTATCAGTGGATCAGTCAAAAGTTTACACTTCCACTATGGGCAGAGTGAAAACCTGATACATTCCCTCCCCTGAAAGAGCTTGTGTTTACCTGAGAAAGCTGTCTGGGGAGGAAAAAAGTACAGTGAATGGTGAATATCATTATTTGAAATTTGCTGAGAGAGGAGATCTTGAAAGTTCTCATCACAAGATAAACATTTTGTAGCTATGGTGGTGAAGGATGTTAACTAAACTTAATATGGTGATCATTTCACAATATATACGTATGTTGAATCATGATGCTGTATACTTAAAACTAATGCAATTTTATATGTCAGTTATATCAATTAAAGTTTTTTAAAAGGCATAGTAAAAACTATACATCAGAAGTACAACTCGGTATAAAGTATTTGTGTGTATATATGTGAATTCATCAGAAGGAAATTAGAATCACAGACCTGGAGCGCTAGAAAAAGGTAACTGGGGACACCAGGAAAAGGTTTTTTTTTTTCCCCCCGCAGGGGATTTGACAGTAACCATAAAAAGAAAAGGGGGGCGAAAATGAGAATGTTTAAGGAAGGAGCGCGTAAACACAGCAGTGATGTTCATGGTGGGGCTGGTAAGCGGGAGTTAGCTGTGGGGCACATGTTAGGTTTGAGGAGCTGAGGAAGTTAGGGCGGATGGAGCGGGCAGTACTAGCTCACCATGGGTTTCCTGACCCATCTGACTCATTCTAACATTTCGAGAGAAAGATCTGTCAGTGTGGGAGCTGTAGGGAAATTTGGAGGATGAAAAAGTTGGGATGAGGAAGAGCGGAGAGAAAGGAATGCCAGAGATTCCAGGTACAAACAGAACATTTGTGAAGACGTCATGGTGGGACCTTTCTGACTAATCCGGCGTAAGGATCGCCGTGTGCCAAGCTGAGGACTTTACACACAGGGTCTCACTGAATACTTGTGAGTTG